CTGCTAGGGTCTTACATTCCCTTGGGCAGATGTGGTAACGTTGAGTGCCTCGTACGGTAGTATTTACCCTGGCCTCCCCAATGAGACAGGATGCGACGCAAGGTCGGGTTTAACGTAGGGAAGCCTGATCGTGTACACCTGGCCAAGGACAAAAACTGCCCAGCCCCAAGTCGGTATGACTACAGATCATTCTACCTTTATAATGCAATTGGGGGTTCAGCCTCGGACAGCTATTGTCCTGGACCAGGCACGTCACAGTATTTATTTTCCTCAGCTGCGTCTCTGTCCGCGGACAGAGCTACAACTGAGTTGCACTCTACACGAAGACAGAGACGTATCTGATAGATGATAAACTGACATGCGCCGGGTATGCAACAGTTGTTAATATTTTAGTGAACTTTCATAAGACGATTTAGTCTACCAACTGAGTCACATTCTTTGCCACACTCGCTGCAAGTAGAAATGACGTATAAAGTGTCGTGAATAACTTCCCTGTGTGAGATTTTTGCGGTTTGTCAAACTTAGGCGCGAATACATTCATTGTTTTTTGGGGTTTTTTTTACTGCTTATCAACCTTTTGCAGATTATTTAAAGCCAGAAAATATTTTTGATTGCAATTATTCTTTGGAGATAGGAATGATTTTTTGATACAAGTCATACTAATTAATCCATAGATGAGGGGAATATAAGGGATATAAGTGAATAGAACGAACCGGACTGGAATTGAAACTCGGCTCTTTTATTTCCAATTTCGATCCATTATCCATTAAACCATCCGCACATCCAAGATTACAGGACCTAGCATTCCCAAGCGGTCATTCATCTAGGTACTGACCAGGGGTCGACGTTGCTGAACCGGTATCACAACGTGATGTGGCCGGAGCCCATTATACCTCAGATCAAACTCTGACACACACACGCACACACAAACAAATATATATTTTACATCATAAATAAACAATTTATACAAAGAATTAATTAGCAATGTTAGTGTGATTAATGGTGAAATCCCTTCGCTAAGAAGGGTTAATGAGTCATGAACTTACTATCAATTCCTTGAATAATAAAAATTAAAAATTGTGCCCTGAAGATGACAATTTGAAATTGTTGAAAGTACTTGGCATGTGTCTTCCATCCGACAACAACTCAAATATAAGGATCTTATTATTCAAAGAATTGATAATGAGTTAATGTCCCATTAAACTTTCTTAGCGAAGTGATTTCGCCATTAATCACATTAACATTGCTAATCCATTCTTTGTATAAATTGTTTCTTTATGATATAAAATATAAGATGCACTAATATATATATATATATATATATATATATATATATATATATATATTTGCATACACAATTTCACATACACGTACATATATATACACATACACATATACTTTGAAAATTAAGATAAAAGATAAAAGAATCGCTGATCTTAGCATAAATATTGTTTTATTTACTTGATAAATAAATAATTGTACAAAATAAGTGAATATTAACAAAAACAGCAATAATTTAAATCAACATTGAGTAAAATAAATATATTTTCGAACAGCGCTGTATTTTGAAATATCGCATTACCGATCTCTCACGACATATCACCTTACTACCCTCGGATCCATCAATAATCCTATTCAAAAACAAATAACAATGCTACCGTATTTTATAGCTAGTAAGCCCGTTCTCCATTTACATTTTACATTTGATTATTATAGTTTTAGGCGAATTGCAAATGCGAACAGCCTTCAACATTTGCGTAAACTTTATTTTAACAGATATCTCTATTCCGTATATAAGACGCTGGAGATATTTAAAGGGGAGAAATTTGCAGCAAAAAGTCAGTACTGTAGATCCTAAAACATATTTTGTCAATAAAGTTGGAAGTAAGTCACTAACAATTTACCCATGGTTTTACACAGGCCATTTTGCGAATTATTTTTCTTTATTTCAGTTTCTCTTAGTCTGAAAATCAGCAAAACAAAAAGGTTTGGCTGTTTTCTAAACTTGAAGACGTCATTATTAATAATGATTCGAACCAATACACACTATATATGGGGTAGAGGAGGCGGTATATTATTATTATTATTATATTTGATAGTTTAAACTTCTCAGTGAATTAAAATATATATGATCCTATATATATATATATATATATATATATATATATATATACAGAGAGAGAGAGAGAGAGCAAATATTCGATCGAGTAAGTTTTACTAAATTCAATTTTTATTTTTTGTTCAAATTGTGGAGATACTGTCAGTTTCGTTCGAGTATTTTCGACCATCTTTGATCAGTATCATGGACGTTAATATTTTCAGAGTCATGGATAACTTTTAACCATTTTAGGAATTCTACTCTTGAAATTAAATAAATGTCTGTATAAGTGATATCATGTGGAAGACGGTTTCACAGAGCTTGTCAGTACAAGATACAGAGATTATTAAAAACCGGTTATAACCCAGTCTCTCTCTCTATATATATATATATATATATATATATATATATATATATATATTCAATATCAAGAGATAGAATATTAATAAAATATATTTGTTTCACGGAGTAATTAATAAGATTAGTAATATGTATTAGAACGCTTAACTGAGGAGCCTTGGTAAGTATGCTCATGTGGCATGAACATTATTATTATTATTGTAGTGAATTCGTTCCTCACTGTGTGTTTCGCTATTCTGGCTCAGAGCCGATTTAGTAATAAATAAAATAAAAAAAAAACAAAACAAGCAAACAAAAACATTAATATTAATAAAAATATTAATACTATAAAAAATATTAATAAAAATATTTTTTTCAAGAATTCAGCAATTTGATATAAAAATATTGAATAAAAAAATAGAATATGTATATTTTCTTCGATTAAAGTCCTTAAATGGATCATAAGTTTTCTTTTTTATATATATATATATATATATATATATATATATATATATATATATATATATATATATATATCCCACATAATGGTAAGCCATAATCTAGATCAGTGGCTCTCAACTTTACTCTTTTTTTTTGTGGACCCACATAGCCATTCGGTGGGGAAAATTAAGCTTATTTTATTTTTAGTAATCTATGAATTTAGGAATTGTATTATAGACATAGTAAATGTGTATGCTTTATTTTAATGTAAAACTAATTTAATGAGAGAATACTTGTATCTAACAACTAAATTCTATGCGCCATTTATGAACACTAGTAAAATAAATCATAATAAATAATTTTCATTTTTCTTTTTATATTCGGCTCCATAGAATCTTGATGAAGACACCATTGTCACTAATGTCTTACCATTATATATATGTGTGAGAGGTATTTCTATCGCATCTTATGTACATATGTTTAAATTTGTTATATTTATAAGATTGAAGATTGCTCAATATTCGAGATAGAGCGTTTATAGGTATATGAGAAGGGTGGCCAACTTATTATTCTTTAAATATCCAATTTTTTGTTGGTTCCATGTCGCCCAAAATATTAATCTATTCAAAACAGAAAAAAAAGAAAACAGAGCAAAGACAGAAACCCTTTATATTTAATATCGAAGCCCAACTCTCAGGAAAAGCACTTCCTGGAAAATTGACATATATCAAGTGATGTCTTACTACTATTACTTGGATCGCGAGGTCCCACACTGTAAAGATGTCGATGTCCGATCATCGCCAGTGCGTAAATTGACCTAAGGATTTAGATGCCTTTGTACAAAACAACAAGAGATAAACATAGGACGACATTTGTGCGCCTCGAGAATTTCTTATTATTGTATGAGTTTTTTTTTTTTTGCTAGCTGTACTAATCTCATTAATAAATGAATTGCCGCCTTTTCGGTGTATAAGACGCCGTTTTTTAACTTAAAATCAAAGCTTGCGCTCAAAGTCATTATTATTATCATTAATAATAATAATAATAATAATAATAATAATAATATATGTATAAATTTTAAGATATTAAACAAAAAGTATGTATAAAATCACTACACAATTGCGATCGTGCTTCAACACACATCACTGCGTCTCAGGCGATTGTAAATTACAGGTGAGTGAACGATTTACTTAATTTCAAAAGCAAAATATCTCCTTATATATATATATATATATATATATATATATATATATATATATATATATATATATATATATATATATATATATATATAGTTGTTATGGTTCATTTGAATGTGTTATTTATATCAATAGTAATAATTTCAAATGTGAACTGAACATCAACAACCAGGGTAATTAATTTTCATTGGATACACGGCAAAACATGTCTTTAAAATAAGGATGCGTCTTATACACCGGTGCGTCTTTTATTCCGTTTTACACAGTAAATATTAAAATAATTTCTCATCCATTTGAACAGTTGGTTCACAAAATGTCTCTAATGATCAAATAAATATAAAAATGACATGCGTATGTATGGCGATTTTCTAAGCGTTTCTTCGACTTGGCACAAGGCCGAAAGTATGGGGCACCCAGTGAAGATTGATTTCACTATTCAGTCGTAATTGTGCTAGCGAGACAAGCTTGCTAACCATTACACCACGTCTAGATGCCCCACCATGTGCATCTATGTTTTTTATTTATGTATATTGTCGTTGTGAAATTGTTGTTAATATGCTCTGGCCCACTTTACCCTTTGCAGACAATGAGGCGGCCTTCTATGAAATAAAAACTGTGTGTATCGAGGAATTAAATGTATGATGACTGATAATCATCATTAATTGGCAGGTATGCAATTTTAAATATCCAGCACAAAAATGTATTATTAGTCTAAAAACAGACTCACTTGCTTTACGATTCACAGCCCCTGGACAGAGTGGCGTATTAAATACTAATAGTTTTAGAAATACATTTCTTGTATATGCGGTCCAGATTATATGCGTAAAGAAAAATAAACCTGAACCATCCACCAATTTTGTGTCCCTCGAATGATTTCCAGTAATTATAAGGATATTAATTTGATAGTCCATCAGCAGGCTATATTATGATTTATTTTTAATGCTTTTGTTTAAACTGTCTTGGAGATTTTGGCCAATAAGGCTTGAGAAAAGTTGTCGGGGTTGGTTCTTATCCAGTTTCTCTTTAATCTTGGCATCCAGCGTGAACAGAAACGTGTCATTGTCTTCGGGAATGTGTTCAAGAAGGAACTGAGCTAATCGCGTGATATACTCGGAATTGGGTCCGCACGAACCGCTTGTGCTGACAATCTGATCGGCCATCAGTTCCACATCACACGGTCCCAAATAATGAGGGTTACTCGGTGTAGCCGTGAAGCAAAGAACATCAATTACATCTGCAAATGTTTCTTCTTCTCCGGTCGGGTCTTTCTCTTTGGCATCACGACGATAGAATTTGGTGATGAATTTCCGGTAACCGCCGAGTTTCGTCTCTCGAGATTCTAAATGAGAAAGAGCATTTTCGATATTCTCTTGTCCCCGAACTTCATAGGCCACTCCCCAGCACTTTTCCTGAAAAGACAAAAAGAATAAATATTTCAAAATGACGGAATAGGTTTTTTTTTTTTTAACTACAAGACATTTGGGATTAAATAAACGAGTTATTATTTTTCCTAGTATATATTTCATCTTCATTTTTGTTCCTTTTGAAGAAAACTTCTTTCTTTCTTTTTGTTTTTATAATTTCCGTTGTAGGAGAGACTTTGTAAATCACAGATACAATAAAGTAACACCTTCGAACAATACTCCGGTCAGACACCGCTAATTCCCATATATATATCATTTTTCCTTTAGCCTTCACGTGATCTAATTATTTCAAGATGAGGTCGACTGTGCTTGCCCTCTGGCTATCCGTGTTTCGGCAGCGACACTTTATTCCTATATGACATTTTTTATGTACCGTGTCCCTTCAGGACGTAGGTGATCATGGCTCTCCACTTTTTCCTATCCCTTGTAGCTTTCAATAAGTTTTGTCCCTCTGTCACCTCCCCCAGGCCACATTCTGTCATCCACTTGCTTAAACCTGCTTTCCCTTTTCTCTCTTTCTCTCGAGTATCAGATTCTCCAGGCCCTCCTTTCTCATTACGTGTCCGAGAATTTTCATCTGCCTCTTTCTGATGTTAAGTATAAGTTTCCTCCTTGTTTGCGTCTTCTCCAAAACCTCGTCGTTGCTCATATGTTCAGTCCATGATATCCTTAGCATCCTTCTGTAGAACCATATCGCCGTTGCCTCGAGTCTCTTCTTCATCTTTGAGGAGACCGTCCATCATTCACCGCCGTAAAGGAAGACAGATGTAACGTAATAGCTCAATGTTCTTTTCTTTGTTACCAAAGTAATCCTCCTGTTTCGTAATACTCTGCATAGCTTTTGGAATGCGTCTTTGGCCATCCCAATATGTCTTCGGATCTCAGCGTCGCACTTACCATCCTCTTTCAAAACACTTCCCAGATATTTAAATTTCCTCACTTGCTTGATTTTAGTGTCCCTGACCTGTAAATCGCATTTCGAGCTCATCTTTTTACTGATAACCATGCATTCTGTCTTCTTGTAGTTTATGCTTAGTCCCTTAGGAAATTACATTATTCTAAAGTAACATTCTATGACCGTTAATAATAGTAATATTATCTTAGAATATGAAGAATTATCAACAACGAGTAGCAGTCGTGAAAATTTCAAGCCTTTCCTGTTGGAATTTTGTTTTTGTTTTTTTTGCTTTCTTTTTAAACTTAAATCAATCGGCGTTTCTGATATGTCTTTTCCGTCTTTCCTCGCGATGAAAACGAAAAATATTATTATTTATTATAGGCTTTTGTGGAGAGAGTAATCATCACTGCATGATAACAGATAATCATCGTGTACTTGGCAGACATGCAATTTTAAATATTCAACACATAAATATGATATTAGTCTCAACAGACGCATTTGTTTTGCAACTAGTACATCCGAGCGTTTCGTTCTTTCGTTCTTTCTTTATCTCACTGAAACCAAGCGGCGTCTCTGGGATGTCTATACCGTCTCTCCCTGGGATCAAAACGGAACAGTCCATTATTTATGAGGTATTGGCAGGGCGTTTCTTTCGTTTTCTCACTAAAACTAAACTGTATCTCTTTAGTATGCCTTTCTTTCTGGCTTTCCTTGTGATCAAAGCGGAATAGTCCATGATTTATGTGATATTGGCATATTCTCTTCTTATCACCATTAACGATGCCCTTTTAACTGTAACCTTTACCTCGAGTGGCTCTTGACCTTGTACAGAGTGAAAAAAACACAGGGACATCATCTTAAACACGTGCATCGACTAAACATGACATATATCTTGATTTTCTAAGCGAGGCTTAGATGCGGCACATGGCCGAAAGTATGGGGCACCTAGTGAGGATCGATCTCACTACTCAGATTTAATTGTTTTAGCGAGACACGCTTGCTAACCATTACACCACGCCGAGGAGCCCAAACATGACATATATATATATATATTATGTTTAAAATGAAATTAGCCAATTGAGTAAAATAATCTTTTATCGAAGAAGTAGTTATTTATTTGAAAATCAATTTCCCAAGTCTAGGAGTATTTTTCTAAACATTTCACCCAAAGTAAGGAAGTAAAGCCACTAAAACACAAGGGGTTACTGAGTGTGAAAGAATAATAATAATAATATTAAGGAAGGAAAATAATAAAAGTAAATGAATGAAGAAAACAGAAGATAACGATTGACATTGAGGAAGACACATATTTTCTATGAAATTTCCCGAACATTCAGGCCGCTAAATGTTGTTAATACTGTTTATTATAAACGGAACATTTACTTAAATATTTGTATCTATAAAAGTAACATCTAAACTACACACATATATGTGTGCGTGTGCGTGTTTATAGTTTATATGTTTTTTATAGATTCAAATATTTAAGTAATCAAAATATATATATATATATATATATATATATATATATATATATATATATATATATATATATATTAAGCATTGTGCCCCAAGCAAGGCGTGAAGCCACTAGGATGCAGGGGTTGCGGAAGATTTGGAGCGAGAGCAGATAAGAGTGATAGGAGAAAAGGAAGAGAAGGATAGTGGGTAGATCAAGGTAATTGGAGATGTCGATTGACATTACATTTGAATAGTTGGAGATTATAGCTTTCAGGGAAACAGTAATTGGGGAGGGTGTTCCACTGGCGAGAGGTGCGAGGTATGAAGCTATTGGAGTAGAAGAGACGGCTGCATTTGAAGGTTTCTACGGTGTAAGGGTGAGAGCGGGATGCCAGCCTCGTAGGGCGCTTGAATTCATGGAGTCTGGGAACCAGAGAGAGCAGCTCATCGGAGCAGTTACCATGGAAGTATTTGTAGAAAAGACAGAGAGAGGCGACGTCGCGTCTGTGAGAGAGTGACTGCAAACAAGACGCTAGATCAGGGCCAATTAGATTACATATCCGTCTCTGGATCTTGTCAAGAACTCCGAGGTAAGCAGAAGGTGCTCCAGCCCATATATGGCAGCAATACTCCATGCAAGGGCGAATGGTTGTTTTGTATATTTGAAGTATCGATTCAGGGGAGAAAAATTTCCTGGCGCGGCACAGAGAGCCAACTTTCCTCGCGGTGGAAAAAGAAGATATATATATATATACTAATTTGCAGTACAGGTGGATTCTCGCTACCCGAAAGCTTGTTTTACGCCAATTCTTTTTAATCTGACCTTGTGACCGACGAAGCTACGTAAATATTTACAGAATTGTAGAAATGCCCGTAGAATATATAAAAGCGAAACAAACAAAAAAATAAAATAAAGCGATATGCTTAGAGCTGAACAGTTTGTTTTTGTTTTTTTTTTTCACTTTAAAGAGATAGGACAACTGCTTACGGAGAGCACGTGTTGTTTTGTACTTTAACAAAGTTCTCTCGTAAATACTGTTGCTGATAATAAACACGTCATAAGTGACGTAAGAAAAGCGACCCGATTCACAATGTCATAGCAATATCAGCCGCAATTCGCAACAACACGTCTCTTCAAAAATGAATGAACCCCCGTCAAAACAATTCCCCACCTCAAATTTCTTTTCCCTTCTAAACAAGAATTCAACGGTGACAGGGTGATAGAAATCATTCGGTAAAATTCCAAATGTCATTAACCAGGATAAAGTTCTGACGTGGAACATTATCAAAACAGAGAGACAAATAAGTAAATAAGAAAATTTAAAACTGTCTCCTTTTACCGAATTCCTCAAATGTAAACATCAGGAAAAAACCTGGATGGAATCTTTTAATATAATAAAATAGGCGAACACGGAATCAAATCGTATCGAATATCAGCGCTGAAAATGGTATCTGCGAGCCGACTTTAAATTCTCAGAGTTCACTTTTATATTTACATACGCTCTATCCTAAGCTACATTTAATCTGCTAAAACTTGTATATATATATATATATATATATATATATATATATATATGTATAAAGAAATATAGTCTTAAGGTGTGCTATATTTATGGGATAAAGTGCTCAATATCAGAGATAGAGCGTGTGAACATAAGATATCAACACTTAGAGGCGACAGTCTGTTTCATGCTATATGCAATCGTCAGAGTAAATCGTGTGGCCTGACGATTGCATATAGCATGAAACAGACTGTCGCCTCTAAGTGTTGACTCTATGTTCACTTTTATATATATATATATATATATATATATATATATATATATATATATATATATGAACATATTCAAATAGTAAAATTTATATCTGCAAGAAGGCAATATCAATAGCTTTCCTATTTATATATATATATATATATATATATATATATATATATATGTATGTATGTGTGTGTGTGCGTGTGCATTTAGTTAAATTGATGTGAGTTTGTGATCCTGATGATCGCAGAGATCGTGAAACCCAGAGTGACAAACTCACATCAATCCAACTAAATATGTCAGCGCTATCTCTGATATTGAACACTTTCCAATAAATATCGCGCATATATAATATATAAATAATATATGTAAAAGTTGCATATATTTATATTTATATGCATACACATTTTACACACACACACATATATATATATATATATATATATATATATATATATATATATATATATATATATATATCCTTAAATACGGCCGTCAAAGAAGTTTGAATTATTACGAAGTTTTTCCAGCATCCTAACATTTGTTTTTTCGTTTTCTAGGTAATATAAAAATTGGCCATAATTTTTATTGTACCAAGCGCTTCCGGTCACTTCTATAGCTATTTTCAAGGGTTTTTTTGTCTCTGCTGTTGTTATTTTTCTTCGTGTTTTGACTGTTACGTTGTGAATTAAATATAGCATAATTTAAAACCATATTTTTTAAATCATACATACATATACACCGTATATACTCGTGTACCGTGCAACTTTTTATAGTTAATTTGACTAGAGTAAATGGAGATATCGTTTATTCAGGTCCAGCAGTACATATGTTAATTTTATCTCGTGTCTGCTGCTACCCTCTTAAAATTAGCTTCAAAATAAAGTCTTCAAAAGTCACATGATATGTGAATATATATGTTATGGATATGGGCACCTCGAGGCGGTTTAACGGTTAGCAAGCATGTCGCGCTAGAACAATTATGACTGTGTAGTGAGTTCGATCCTCACTAGGTGCCCCATACTTTCGGCCTTGTGCCACATCTGAGCTACGCTTGGAAAATTACTATTTGATATGTATATTATTGCTTAAACGTTATTTTAGTTGATACCCGTATTTGTGTAGACGCTCTGTTTATTTATCAAATCGTATGTTTGTTCATTTTCGTCTACTGGCCTGAATATTTGAGAAACGTTATTAAGGGAAAACGTGTTCCCCGCCCCCACTCTTGGTAGGAGAAGCCGTCGTTAGATCCGACGTTCTTTTGATCGTCTTGGCCATGAAGTTCGTCGTGGATCTCGAAATATTCATATCTGCTCAATTTCATATATATATATATATATATATATATATATATATATATATATTTGTGTGTGTTCTAAAAGTAGAAATGAAAATATACTTACTCCTTCTGAATTGATTAAGGTTGCCACACGTCCAGGCTGTAAAAATAAAAAAAAATATATAATCTTATTAAAAAAAATTAAGTATAATATATCTTTTGGCAGCAACCTTTCTTTCAAACATCTTTTATTGAATACGACTGACAAGAAAAAATTGAATTAATTTTTTATTAAGTTTTATGTGAGAGCTTGGAATAAAGGCTCGTTTTTCAAAAAACAACACAAACACAATTTACAACGTAAAAGTCAAAACACGGAGAAAAATAACAACATTAGAAACAAAACAAATAATCCTTTAAAATAGCAATAGAAGCGGCGAAAGCGTTTTGGACAATTGAAATTATGGACAAATTATATATTTCATAGAAAACGGATAAAACGTTAGGATGCTAGAGAAACTTAATAACAACTAATTCAATCTTCCTTGTCGACCGCATTTAATGAAAATATATATATATATATATATATATATATATATATATATATATATATATATGTGTGTGTGTGTGTGTGTGTGTGTGTGTATTTGATTGAATAAATTACAAACGTTATGCCCAATTATTTTTATTATAATCCGTTCATATTCACGAATATTTTTCTGTATATTACAATTAAATAAGTGTTCGAATTTCATGTTGATGGACTTGGGTCATATCATACTTGATAAATAACGGTATTCTTTTAATCAATTTCTTTTTATTTATTTACAAACAATATCCCCTTTGATGGCATATAATCCCCACCTTCCTATGTGTATGTTTGTATTATGGAGTCAGGATACGGACAAGTAGTTGTAATAGTGCCTGTGTAGATTGTAAACATTATCCTACTCGATACTTTGACTTAGTATATAAAACCCTCTTCCTATGTAATTAATAGTATTATGGAGCTTGGCAAGGTAAACGTTCTGTTTGTCTAGGACGACTGAGTATAACTTATTACTTTTCTTATAAGACTTACGATAGATTTTTGATCTATTCTGTTTAGTAAATTCGAAGCACTACGTTTTTTAAAACAAAGTCCGCCTTTGTCCCATAATAGTTGTTAAATTTTTGTATTCATTTCATATAGCAAATGAAACAAATAATATGGGACAAGTTAGTATTTATATTTTGTTTGTTTTCATTCTGATTAAATTGTTGACAGCGATAGTGTTGTAGTTGGTAAAATACAAAACAATTGTCTTCTTTCTGTGAACTAAAAATAAAGAGTAAAAAAACAACATGTAAACACACTTATTTTGGTCTGCATTTCGAAAGGGTAGCAAAAATCAGGACTCTGAACAGAAAGGAAAACAATACCACCCAAAAGACAAACACTGTGCAGTTTTATAGCCCACCCAATGAGTAGCAGATGCAGATATCACAATAATAATAATAATAATAATAACTAACCACTTTCCCGTCTTATGATGATTTCCTGAATAATAATTTAAAAAATAACTCCAAAGACGATGTTATTTTATTTATGGTAACTGGATTTTTGGCGATTGCTTTACTTTGTTTCCGTCGTTCGATAGTGTGATTCTGAAAAAATACCGCTTTGATCTCGGCCTTTCGGTTGGGATCAAAGTGTAGTATCTGCCCTCAGGCGAATAAACTACATTTCATCTCTTAGTCGTATCTCTTTCTTTGGAGAGAGCGCAACTGAATATATTTTTGAGAGGTGCCCGGTCTCGGAAAACAACTCCCCGCCGCAGTACCTCCCTCAATGAGTGGAAGCGATTGTATTACTGATGCCAACACAGGTTGTAGGCTATTTTTGGACTTGGCCCGGGTGCACACGATCACCTCCCCCCCCCCATTAAACTGACCTTGTGTCACATCCTGTCAGAGTGAGATGGCAAGTAAATACATAGTGTAGTATCTGTTCTTATCAGCTTAAACTGATTCTCTCTCTCTCCACTTCTATAATCTCGTCTTTCTTTCATTTTCTCTCTGAAACTAAGTAGTGTCATTTCCACACGATCAAAACGGAATAGTCCACTATTTATGATGATCGACAGGGCGTAACGATTGTGCGAAATAACGAAAGGAAGGACAAACACTTATAAAAGAATAATAATACTAATTGTGCATAGATTTGTTTTATTCTTCTGAACCTCTATTTACGAACAAGAAATGCCCTTGTCCTGAGGGATAATATCAGTAGTAATTATTCAGCATAGCACCCTTAGAATCTTATGGATAATCGGGATTGGAACAAAATTAAATTTATATACAATAGAATAATGGAAAAAAAATAGATATAAAAATATAGGAATGGGCTTAAGACAAGGAAATGTCATTTTCGCCAGATTTGATCAACTTCTACAACAAGACTTTATTAAGGGAACTGAAGACATTACTATGATTTAGCATCTCTCTCTCTCTTGCACTAATATAATAATAATAGTTAAGAGTAGAGTGCAATTTAATAAAGAAAAAAAACAGTATTTGACAATGTTATACAACCTTTCGATAGTGTGTCTGTCTTCAAGTTATATTTAAAAGTCGAAGATAGACATTCTGTCGAAATATTGTTTAATATTATCAAACACTGTTTTTACTTTTCTTAAATCGCGTTTTTCTCTTAACTGTTGAAAAATATTGGAAGAGATATGTTAGCCATTTTGTTTAATAATAAATAATAATAATAATAATGCTACCTACTGATATGCATAAAATTATATTAAATTATTTAACGTATATCAAGGTGAATAGAATTTCTGCCAATAAATTGCTCAATATAAAGATGTTGATTAAAGCATTTTCCCAATATATGATAACGTAATAAAATTACTTGCAAATGATTGCTTTCAAAAGCAGACTAAATAAAGTAACTTTATGTAGGACGCTTACTATTTATAGCTTGTACAAAAGTATATCCCCGACATTTACTATCGTGTTTTCTTCCATGTTTGAATGACACGGCAGATTTTTGGTTGGAAATAAAAGTAAAGAGGTTAAAGAAAAAAAATTACGGTCAGGGTTAACGGTTGTAAAGGGAGGGTGTGTGTGTGAGGGGAATTCTTTATTTGGCTTAGTCATTGCATAGAAAGTGGTCGTTACCCGACGGGGTTTTCCAAACACGGAAGTCAGTCAATGAATCAAGAAGCCATTGCTGCAAATGTTACGTTGATCGCTTCTTTGACTTTTTTTTTCTCTTTAATACTTTACTACCGTAGGTGGCATTCAGTTCAGAAGATTCTCCACTGGACTTGTCTCTTCTTCAGCCAAGACAAGCACAATTTGCTAACGTATAATCTGTAGGGATCCATCTCTCAGGCAGTATATCTACATTGTGCATGCAGAGCAAACTCAGCACGTACTACCCTTGAACCTCTCGACCGGAGGTGGGAAAACCTGGTTGGGAGCTGCGAACATTGCTCAAACACATTCGGGTTTGTTCAAAACCCACCGAACCTAACTGTGTTTAATATTTCCATTATGCTGTGCTGACTCTGTTAGAGTTTCCGGGAGAGAATGCATAATCTAGCATGATCAACAGTTGGAACAATGCCAATACCTTTGAACCCTCTACCACGATGACCTGCAACTTCATGCTGGCACAAGCACTGATGAATTAAGTCTGTTTCCCAGTTCGAATGGCTACTGGTACACTAGTTTTTCTTTGTTAAATATTAAAAAAAGGTGCGTTTTTCTTTTTACACATTTTATTTTTAGAATAAACTTGATTATGCGAAGGTCATGTCCATCCCCGTAGCGACAGAAGGAAGGGAAGATTAATTACGCAAAAAAAAAAAAAAAAAAAAAAAACAATAAGAAAACATATGACGTTAAATATTTGGTCAGAAAAATTTGATGACGGTGAGTTTTAGTTTTTGACATTTGTTTCGGATATCACAGGATTGAGTAAATTCTCATATGTATATATATATATATATATATAATACTCACATTCTCATATATATGTATATATATATAATATTCATATTCTCATATATATATATACTCAGTAAAATCCCAAATCCCCTCATATGAGGAATAGGCATATTTCGACCGACGAAAATATAATTCGTCAGTCTTATTCAAACCCGGTATAAACTGAGTTCGTGTCGGAAATAGAAATTTAACTGTGAAAGATAAAAAGAAAAAAAACGTCGAAAAACTAATACAGAATTTATTCATTCCAATTGGATCAGTCAGACGAAGGGCATGATCAGTTTTCATATTTTATATTACTACGACTAAGATCTATCAACAGATTTATTACCTTTACTATATATATATATATATATATATATATATATATATATATATATATATAATGTCCCGGAAACGGATATATTTGATCGAAGTAGCTAAGTGGTTTTGGCTACTATAACCAAGTAGTACACGGTAGCAGTAATCGACTGATACTCGTCGTAGTCGTAGGTAATAGGTGTAAACCAAGGATAGCCAATGGCGTAGTCCAATGAATGTTGTCATAGATTTAAACTCTGTCGTACCCACACGTCCGTCTGTATTTATGATGGACACCTGCCAATGATATTCCAGTGAGGAGGAACTCAGGTGTATGCATATTCTATTATATCAATATATATGAGTGTGTGTGTGTTGCTAATCGAGTTTACCCCAAGTAAGGCTGTAAAGCCTCTAAGACACAAGGGGTTACTGGGTATTGAAGAATTAGAAAAGAGACAGGAAGAATTAGAAAGGACACAGGAAGGCAAACTTATGGCTGTAGAAGAAAAAAAAACAGATCAGGACCAATAATATTGTTGCTTCGTCTTTGGATTTTATCAAGGTTCTCTAAATATATAGTAGGAGCAACTGAACATATTTAGCAGTAATATTCTAATCACTGACAAACATAGACATATACTTAAAACTAGCACTCAAAAGCGAGTAAAAACTATATGTAAATTTGAAACACCTTTTTTTCACCCTTGGAAGTGCGGTCTGATGAACCAGGTAAAAATCACATACCTGGGGAAATAAATTATAACCAATGGATTCTTAAGGTTGTCTGTTTAAATTAATAATGTAATCCAAATACAAACCTGTTTCGCAGCTCATTAGTATGGCTAGACATCCGATTGCTTCAAGCCAGGATCGAAACTCGACCTATTTAGCATCAGTCAGAGATTCTACCCCTAAGCTATCGGCACACGAGTTGATCAAAATCTTTTTCAATCAAACCAAGGGTTCCAACCACAAATGGAACTATTGATGTTTGCATATGCCACATATCTTTAGATTTTCACTTCAAGATCATTGTATAAATTTCTTTCAAAGTCTTTAAAATCCATTACAGTCTGCGGCAACTGCCATGTCAGTAAGAAAGCACTTTCTGTTTTTGTGGTTTGGGATTATGTCTAGGCGATCATTAATTAATTAATTAACTAATTAAATAATAATAATAATAACAATAATTATTATTATTATAATGTATTTGGCTCGTGGCTTCCCAACTGACATTACATAGATGAACTACATATGTGCCAAACTAAAAAAAAAATCGACTTAATTGAAGTGTGTATAAATAATCGTGGCCAATTTTGGTGGAAAAGCCAGAAAATCTGATGCAATATTCACAGTAATGAGAAATTCCTCGCGAGTCGCTACGTGTACTTTAAACAAAAGTCGAGTGATTCCCCGCGATCTTTTCTTTCGCTCATCTTTTCATTACGTAACTATCCTCCCGTCCCCGATTTACTATTTCTACAAAAAGGAAGTAAAAGAAGAAAAGAAAGCGAAAAACTGATTCATTCATTCGCACATGTCACACCGTGTTATTGGCTTTCGCTTTTTTTTTTTTTTACATGTTTAAGAGAAAAAAATCTAGCGCGAGTTAGCTGCAAGAAATGACAGCGATTGCATCAGGCTGATTACAACGCTTGTGGGTGGTGGGCTTGGATTTTTTTACAAACTGAATCTTGAAAGACCTCAGTGTGTTAGAAGCGGGATTTTACCACCTTTTAAATTTTGTTTGCTCCCGCTTTTGCATGAAATATCTTTGATACATAGGTTCGGCCATATATCCCTTATCGCTTTCAAGACTACTAACATTATCCATTATCTCACGCCTCTGCTCTTTTCTCACAATTTACCTGTATCTTCTCATTCTCACCCTTATCCTTTCCAATACAATTCAGATGATCCATTATTTCACCACTCTGCTCTTCTCTAATCCTTTGCTTGCATCTTCCAATTCTCCCCCTTATCCATTCCAATAATGCTAAGACTATCCATTATCTCATGCCTCTGGCCTTCTCTCATCATTAACCTGTATCTTCCAATTCTGTCCCTTATCCCTTCTAATACAACTAAGAATCTTCATTATCTCATGTCTCTGCTGCACCATTTGGATAGTAAATAGTCATACTATCAATACACACACACACACACATATATATATATATATATATATATATATATATATATATATCTGTATGTATATATGTATACATAAGTACGGATAATGGATAGAGGCTCAGATTTAAGAATCAGAGTACCGAGTTCGAATTTACAGTCGATTCCTTTTACGTTCACTTTCGTGCAACTACCCTTGGGAAAGGTCCAAATCCAATCACAACCCCCCCCCCAGCTACAAGCTATGGCTAAATAGCAGGACAGACTGGATGCTATAGCGCGGTCGAGGAGAAGGACAAATTTGAATTTGTGGACCTTGTATTACACAATGTGCATCTGTTCTCTGTATTCAAACAGTGTGAACGGTTCAGCACATGACTTCACGCCGTTATAATCAAATCATACGTGTGGGCAGTCTTGCTATTTGGTTCTAAGTACTGAGCTGCTGGACACTCATACGTCAAATATATATATATATATATATATATATATATATATATATATATATAACGTATGCTATATTTATGGATAGAGCGTATGTAAATATAAAAGTGGACAGTGAAGTCAACACCCAGAGATTTTGTTTCATGCTAAATGCACACGTCAGGCCTGAGGATTGCGTTTAGCATAAAGCAGACAGTTGCCTCTGTGTGTCAACTTTCACACACACACACACACACATATATATATATATATATATATATATATATATATATATATTTCGTTTATCGACGTATGAGGGTCAAACAGTTCAGTTCCTAGGAACCGACAGCCAGAGGCCAGTACATATGATCTGATTATAGTGGTGAGGATTTTGTGCAGACCCAACCACACATTTTGAAGAGCCGAATACAGAGACCTAATACACTAAGTGCCACAAGGTCCCCAAACGACCCTCCGTAGGTTTTGAATTCAGTTGTCCTTTGCCTAAACCAGTTGCCATCCAAAACTATAAAACCCAGTCTGTCATAGCATGTAAGTGAATGTAATGGCTTCGACTGGAATTGGAACTCGGCTCTCTGATTCTTCAGTTCAAGCCGCTATCCATTACTCCACCGTGAAAAAAAAATTAAAGACGTAAGCATAAGCAAATTTCATGAACGTGCGCGTGTAAAAGAACGTTAAATTCATGAATACGCCCGTGTACAAAACGGAGTAGAAAAGCGGAATGAAAAAGACGCGGAACAAATGGAAAAATTGAAAAATAATAGGAAATATCGTTTAAAACCAGAACCCCTGAAGACTGGAAATGTTACCATGAAACTTCAAAGTCGAGATAAAATTGATATCTAAAAGTTAAGTAATCATTTCATATAATATTAATATTATATATATATATATATATATATATATATATATATATAAGGCTCAAACACTGATATTAGTGTTTGAGCCTTTTATATTACATGCTTACTCTGTCCTGGACATTGAGTTCTACTTGGATTCTATCTTCTTGGAAATTTATATATATATATATATATATATATGTATATATATTCGATCATAACAACAACAACAACAATAATAATAATAATAAAAGTAACCCATTACTGCATAAAATTTCCTTAACCTTTTAGATCTTTCTACCTGATCTACCTGGCTGGCTAAGGGTAATCTTGGGCCAGGATTGTTATAAATTTTAGGTAAACTCCCGCTAAAAGATTTGACGCCAAGGACTAATGAGTTAGTTCAGCACCTTAGCTTAGTAGGAATTTATTTTTGATTTTAATCAAAGAATGCATGATATTTACTAATTATTAAACCCAGAGGGTGGGTCTAAACTTTTTGTACATATGTATATATATATATATATATATATATATATATATATATATATATATATATAATGCTCAACACACGTATGAAGAAAATAACGAAACCGGAATGGTTGAAAACAAGTTAGCATGATTGTCTGGTGCAATTTTTGAATAATTTGAAAAGATTCTTACCTTTTCAAATGTTCCTCTCTGGTGGATATTCCCTTGCCAAAATTTTCTTGAAAATCCCCAAATAAAGCCGATTTCTCTCTTCGCATAGTTTATGCACGGTTTCCAGGTCAAGGAACCGTAACCAAAAATCCAAATGGATGGCTCCAAGATCATTTTTGGCCGAGATGTTTCTTTCATCAACAGTTACCGAAGTACGATTATCGGAAAGGTTTCAGCAGCTGCGACAACGGTAGCGAGGTGATGATGTCAATCTGAAAAATTAAATAGTTCTAATTGTCAGAGAAAAATATTTAAATATATGAAAGCATTCTGAAAAGTTTTTATACTATTACACGTTATTGAATTTTAAAGAAAATGTCAGCAAGAAATATTCGTCCTTAAACTTTGACAATAATTCACCGTTATAAAATTAATTAAAATAAATAATTAGTTTCCATGACAAAAGGAAGTAGGGAAAAAAAGTATTTTTCTTTTAAATTTTAGATAATGAATGACACTTACAATTTGGTAGAATAGATATAATTTGTTTCCAGGCGATCCGCTTTTTTAAAATATAAATAAACTCAGCCGATATGAATTTTTTTTTTCAGTTAAATCTATAAGTCTTTTTTAACAAAAAAATAACAGATGTTCTTTTTGTTGTTTTTTTCTTTCTTTTTTCTCCTTCTGAAAGGTTTTCTTTTGTTTCTTTTCGAAGTTACCAGGATGGTTTCACAGTTTTAGCAACGAGTTGCGTCACTTCTTCGCTAGCGTAGAAGTATCAATGTGGTTTGAAGAGGCACTACCAGCTTTTTATAGAGGAAAACCTTGTTTTCTATCAGCTGATAGACAGAACAGAAAAGCTAGCTGACGACATCGTCGAAGGAAGAAAAAAAAGTAGCAGTCACAGGTGCTTCTTTCGGACGAAACGAACTTAACTAGTGCGCGCACACACATACACAATCTGCAGGCCTGTCGTGTTTGCGCTACACAAAAACAGTAAATAAATACTCTAGAAAGAGCCGGGAAATTTTCACGGTCTTTCTATTTAAATCTAATGAATTCTTAACTTAATTCTTCAGTTAATAATTGAATAAGCTCATAGCGAGTTCAACTACAATAAAATATCCGTAGAAATTGCTCTATTGCATCGTTAAATGTTTAAGCTGAACAACTTCAACAAAATATTGCAATAACATTTATCAACATGAATACTGGTCGTTATTTTAAGAAGTAAGGGGGTACAAATGAAAAAAAATGAAATTGACAACTTTTTCTATTTCAATGAGACAGACGTTAAACACTTCTGTTTTTCCCTTCTTTCTTTCATTTTCTTACCTCTCCGGTGTGTCTTTTCTGTCATCCCCCACAAGATCAAAATAAAAAAATGTCACCGTCTTCCTATTTAAATCTTCTGATAAATCTTAATTCTTAACATAATTCTTCAGTTAATGATTGAATAAGCTGAGAGCGAATTCAACGACAATAAAATATCCGTATAAATTCCCCTATGACATCGTTAAATATTTGAGCTTAACAATTTTAACAAAATACTGCAGTAACCTCATAAATATAAATGCTGGTTGTTATTTTAAGAAGTGGGTAGAGATAAAAAGATTTGAAATTCACAACTTTTTTCATTTCACTGAAACAGACGTTAAAAAATTCTATCTTCCTTTCTTTATTTCTTGCTTTCTTTCTATGACAATAAAATATCCGTAGAAACTCCTCGATCGCATCGTTAAATATTTCAGCTGAACAACTTTAATTAAATATTATAGTAACAATCATCAACATGAATGGTGGTCGTTATTTTAAGAAGTAAGGGGGTACAAATGAAAAAAATTGAATTTGACAACTTTTTCCATTTCACTGAAACAGCTGTTAAACACTTCTCTCTTTCTTTTGTATGTTTTGTTTTTCTACTCAATCAAAATGTATATTATTTATGAGATATTAAGGAAACATTAAATACTTTTATGTTCCCTTCCTATCTTTCTAGCAAAATCAAGGGTAACCATTACACAACGTTGCTTCTTTTGTGTGTCATATCCTTTCAGGGCGTGGTTGATCATGGCTCTCCACAACATCCTATTGTCCTTTTCTGCCTTCTTGAATCTTGTTCCTCCAGGATCCCCCTACATCCTAATGGCGTTGTCGCCTTGCTTTGGGTGAAACATTTTTTTTTCGTTCACCATACTTTTTTATCCATCCAGTCGCTAGCGTTTTTTATTCAATGCCTTATGATTGTTAAATTTGCCAAGCCCTCTGTCCCAATCATGTATATGCCTTATTCGCTATTAAGTAAAATTTAACTAAGTAGTGAACATTTTTTTTTTAACTGAGGGATTATCAACTTGATTAACTGGATTAAAACGTTAATACATATCGGGGATATTAGTTTAATTCAAAGGTCCGCTCGTAAAGATAAATAGAGAAAAATTTGGGAGGGGGGTAATTTTTGTAGATTAGCATTCATTATATTTTACTCAAACCACAGCATTTGTCCGAATCGAAAAATATTGATAATGTTATCATTTTAGAAGTGGGGGTTCCTGTTCATAATCTAAATACAAATGTCATATCGACCCCTGAATTCTAAAATTGATTTTTTTTTTACTTTGTTTTTATTTACAAATGTCAAGTTTGAAATTCAGCGTACTACTGGTGTTGTCCTTTGTAATATATCCAATAAAAACCTATACCTAATTTCCAAACGCATTTTGCAAAAAGAAAAAATCTTTCTTGAAGCTTTAATTTTAGCTTCAATTCCAAGCTAATAGATTCTACAGTTTAACCCGGATATAAGAGAGTTGTCGGGACCGGAGAAGAAGTCTCTTATATCCGGGTTTCTCTTATATCCGGGTTTGGTCTATTTTATATACATTAACACAGGCTCTAATTTGGGACCAGAGAAAATCTCTCTTATATCCGGGTTTCTCTTATATCCGGGTCTCTTATATCCGGGTTACACTGTATTTACTATTCCTAGTAATCAAAATATTTTGGTGTATTTCAAACCAATTTAGATTGATTGGAATCTTTTTTTCTTTCAGTAAATTCATTCATATTTTTTTACACATGCAAAAAAAAAAACTAGTTTCCGTTTTATTTTTACATCTTTCAAAATTAAAATTTAATTTTCTGAAACTATTTGAGAAGAATTAGCAAAGTTAATGTTTAATTAATCTGATCTGAAACAAATATTACTTACTTTTACTATTATAAGTAAATATTACTTACTTTTAGCATAAAACATAGTAAAAAAACAAAAAACGTTTGACCTGGAGCACTTGTTTTCCTGACACGTTGAATGACTTATTGACAACGTGAAGTTTAGAAACGATAAGTACGAAGGAACAGAAGTGACAAAAATTATTCGATGAATTCTAACTGAACGCCTTGTTTTTTTTTTCTCCTTTTTAAAACTACCCAAATAGCCTTTAAAATTTAACAAGAAAATAAATTTGTATTTAATTTTATGTACATTGGCTTTATAACCTCACGTTTGAAGATGTTTTATAGCCTCACGTTTGAAGATGCTTTCGGAAAAATGCTTAAAAAATTATTAATAAATGTTTATTATAGGCAAAATTTATTTTAAAAATTAAAAAAAAATAAAACTTACTTTAAAATTTTGAGAGGTTGATTTGCAAAACATGGAATTTCTAGGGATCGATGAATTGTAGAATGTTTTTCTATTTCTGATTAGTAAATACAGTTTTTATTTAATAATAATATCATCTAAATGCTACAAATTCCTACAGAATTTCGAAAGATTTAAAACTATAAATTATTATAATTGAATTTAAAAAAAAATAGAAACAGTTTTTGTAAAAATTCATTATTCATCAAAAAAATATTTTCTTAAGACAATAGTATTTAGTACAATACATCTTATTCACAATACATCTTATTCATAAAAGAAATTAAAAGCTTTTCTAATTAAATAAAGTCCTAGCTTTGTTGCATTCATTATTCAGAATAAATTTTTCGGTAACTGTGAGTCCTATTTTACAAAAAAAAATAGTTTAAATTCTTCAAGAAATTCTGTTTATAACTAATATAGACATCATATCGCGCAAAAATGAATTTCTCGGAATGTCATAAAATTAAGTGCTCTAATACCCTATGTATAATACGCATTTTTTCTAAAAAAAAATAATAAGCAAAATTAGGATTGGGTATTATGCACAGCGACAAAAAATCTTTAAAAAATTGCTGTTTCATAAGTCGATTTCAGTTGCGAAATGACGACTCACCAAAAACATGACAATTTGACACTAACATTCGGTGATTGAAACCCCTATAAGGATGTCAAATACAATCATATGTACCTACAAAATACAAATATAAAATAAAATAAGAATCATTATAAAACTAAATTAAAATAATGTTATTCTATGTTTAAAACCATTTTAATAAGAGTAGGAAACACTGGCCGTAATGAAATTGGAGAGATACAATTTAAACGGTTTGATTACCAAACAAAGAGTGCGGATTATGCATGACTACAAGCATTTTCAAACAATTTAGGGGTGCTTATTATGGATGAAGGCGTATGGGAAAATACAGTAAGTGTAGCGGATTTAAAAAATTTTTAAAACTATTTTCTAAAAAATAAAATTAAAAATAATTTAATTCATTTATGAACAAGTCTTGAAAGTTTAATTAAAATCCGACATTTATTTAATTTTTCCAAATCAATGTGTTTTTCACTGCAAAATTTTCCATACTTATTCATGCTCCCTCTTTGATGCAAGAAAAAAAATTTTAACCAAAATTTCGAAAATCTTCGAAAGAAACGATTAAAAAAATATAAATTAATAATCAAAAAGTTCTTTTATCTTTCCTTTTAATAATAGCAAGATTTTAACGATAAAACTTTGTTTTTAAGTTTGGGGCACTTTTTTCATCGTGCATTCTTATTTTTAGCTAATTTTATGGAGGGAGCTATCATAATAGTATGCAGTTATCAATAACGTAAACAGAGATTTAAATCTTTCACCTCTGTAAATAAAACAAAGTGAAGATGACACTTTAAAAAATCAGAAATCGATTTGACAATGCATATTATAAATAAAACACCCTTCTAAATTATTAAAAGAATCAATATTTTTCGATTCTGTCAAATGCGGTGGCTTGAGGAAACTCTAATGAATGTTATTCTAAAA